TAAGGACACGTGAAGATCGTCATTTAAAATTTCGGACTGATCTACATTTTTGATGAGTATAAATGGTTTGCACCATACAGTGCGGGACACTTAAATATTGTAATCACGTGACTTGTCCACATAACAATGGTCCAAGGCATCATCATGATGTATTATTACATGCATTATGTAATGCATGCAATATTATTGGTTGCATTATATATAATGGTATGTTACATTGCATACATGAAATTGAAAAAAGTTGAGATGTATGAAGATTCTTTGCCTTTTAAAGATGACTAATTTATTGGGGGATTTCATCAATGATGGTTTTTGTGCTTTTTACTTTACTTCCGAAACAATAATTTTAACGACTGTAGATGTCGAATTCTAAGCTCGCTAACAAAACCCCAGAAAAGATATCTACCGATCCCTGGTCGTATCATGTCGAGATTAGTACAGAAAGTTCGAAGATTCATTCATACTTTAGTGCCGTACAGTCAAGGTTTTGGACCTTCGAACATTATATTAATTGGATATGTAAGAATGCTGAACCTCCTATTTGGACCACATGCGTAGAACAATTCTACGAGTCTTTACGTATGCTAAATAAAATCAAAGTGGTACCTCTTAGCGTTCGAGCATATGTGAAAAGTCTTGTGGAAATTATGAATGTAAGTACCAATATCTATTCGCTTTGGCTTGCTTGCAGAATGCTTATGAAATTATGAATTAGGAAATGGAAACCCAAGATACGATGAAAGTCCTTGAGAAGACATATATAGCACTAATAAAGGAACGACAGGGTAAAATGCTTAGCAAGGTTCGTGGTTGTCACCGTTTGTTGATATGAATAAGTGAAAAACTTACACGCATAGTTTGCAACCTAAAATAGACCTTGTTACATGCACAAACGGATAAGGCTACTTATGCTGATGCCACGGGTGTTGTTGGTTCCAAAAGACAAGCAAACCTAAAAGAAGTTTCCCATGAGCAGAAAAAGAGAAGAACGGACGCACAAGACACTGACAATATTACAGTAAGAACATTAAAATGCGAGTTAGATGATAAACATATATTCTAACGTAACTTTGTTTATTATAGGATGCTACAGATGTGGATGAGGACTCATGTAACGATTTAAGCAAGCTCGACTTTATGAAATTTGATGAATCTTATTTAGCCATGGATCCCGAAAAGATGTGGAAGCTAAAAAGTGGACGCAAAGTTGAAGAAATAATTCATCAGTTTGCAAAAAAGTTACATAAAGAATCATGTCTACATTCTTTCATTATCAATGACACCGACAAGAACGCTGAATCATTATTTTCAAAGGAAGAATGGAAGGAAATTTTCTTTACAAGTGTTAAAAAGAAGCCAAAAGTTGAAGTTCCACTGCGTGAGTTAATTAGCAAATACACACTCGATAATATCAGCGATTTGCGAAAAACTGTTTTCCAACCATTCATACCGGATGGATTTGAATTCAATAGAAATTTGCATTATAATCTTGACTATATAAACTACGCATATCGGGGAATGCTACTTCTATGGGAAATGGAGGATAGCTTTACTTCGGATCCATCAAAACTGGAAGGTTGGTTCCAGCATAACGTATGGAGCCGTTTAATTGACCCAGCTTTCCATGATATGAAGGTTGAGTTAATTCGGGGTGAAGGCATGAGCCTCGCCTCAAGTGATAGGAAGAATGAGGGTAGAACAATCTCAGGTCGTAAAAAAATTGGGAAGAAAGGGGACGGAATTTTTAGAATCACGAAAGATCGCATGGAATTTGGAGCTATTGAAACAGGTCGCAAGTGGGAAGGATTGAAAGGAACTAAATATTTGAAAGATAGTCTGAAATTAAATAAAATGTTAAAAGATATGCTTACACAACTTGTTGCTGAGTGTGATAGGAAAGATGACATCATCAGGCAATTGCAAGTTATCGGTATGTTAAATGGAGGTAATCGATTACAAATCATTACAATGGATACTCCCAAAGGATACATTTGCCGTGTCGAACGTGGAAAAATTTATGAAGTTAATGGTCGGTTAAGCATGTCACAGCCACTTGCTTTTGTTGTGAAAGAAATTTTACGTACAAAAGCAATATTTATGCAGACGTTAGACTTGATTAATAATAATAAATTAAGCAATTTATTCAACGATGACACTGATGATGACGACGTTGAGGATAATTCCAGAAGCTCCACACCTCCTCCATTTGCCTTGCCTAAAACGTTCCCTACACCACACACGTCAAGAGTGGAAAATAAACTAAAAATTTAATACGTAATGAATTAGCAATAAAATTTGTTTATTTGATACGTGCAACCAAATGTATTGTAATCAAGGATAATATTTGTTTGAGGTGTGGTGTGGTGTGGATGTGTGCATCGGAAAAATAAATAAGTTTTGCAAATATTGTACCGCACAGTATGTTTTGCAGGCTAATTCCGATTTAATATAATTGTATTGCCATATATCGCAAAGCCATAAATAATGATAAAGATAATTTTTTATTCAATTTGCTATTCCGCAATAATATGCGGTTACACATTTGAATACATTATCGAATATATAAAAGCTATTACCAAACATGTTATCAGAGCTAGATTTGTTAATAAAGAAAAGGCTGAGCTTGAGACTAAGTAAGAATGCTGAAATTTCTGAGCTTAAGGCTGAGAAAACTGAACTTGAGGATAGGAATGAGAATCAAAGACGAAGAAGTTGGAACTTAAAGAAAATCGCAAATTTCAGGATAAATGCATCCTAATAGCTCAGGTAGTTCTTAATTAGGAACCTATGATCGAATATCGCCCCCGCTTTCTTAAAAGGATTAGAGCTTGATGCCTTCTTCCGAAAAATCAAATCGCATTAGAAGTGCAAGGGGCACAGCATCGATCTCATAGTACTAGATGGTATAAAAATGTTAAAAAAACTCGAGGACATTGTTGTTAACTGTGATCGGCAAAAAATATGCATATGGAATCTCCCTTCTTAGAACGAAAACCAGAAATCATTATCCCTAAAAGGATTCAAAAAATTAAGGAGTTTATTAGTAAATCTGAAAGCAAAGATGTCGAAACAGCATCTCAAAGCTTCGATCTCCTATAATCAACAATTTTATAATACATGTAACTCTATCTAAATTGTAATTGCTTCATAGGTAGGTATCACAAGCCAATATAATTATACAATTAATATTTTTTGCAACAGCTATTACCAGATTTTAAATTGACTTGCAACCATCTCTATTATTTTGAAATTCTTTCCATCAAAGAGAGAGCTGTCAAAAAGGAACATTAATTTATTGATAATGCACTTCAAAAATTATTCTGTCTCAACACTGTTCAGCCATGGCATTATATTTTCGTCATTTTTAAATCATATTTCTTCTTTAATTTTTTTCTTGTCAGTCAAGAAGCATAAAACTAATCAGTCTAGATTAAAGTTATAATTTATATTTTTCATAAAATTTTTGTTAGTATTATGTCAAAACTTATATGAAGTTCTAGACTTACATTTTAGCATAAATGCAGAGGATTCACATCAAAAAGATATCTGTTTATTATGCAGAAGAAAGCATAAGAGTTTGCAAGGTAAGTGATGTCTAGATAATCAAAAAAATAAACATTATTATTTGCTATACGAGCATGTCAAAGAGCCAGGAATTTTACTTGATAATGTACTAAAAACATATGATACAAAATATCGAAAAAGTTAGGTTTTGAAACAAGAACATCTTTGATTATCAACTTATGTTTTTGAATTATACTCTTGAATTTAAATTTTTGAACAAGAAAATAATAGTATACACATAAGAAATAAACTTTATATAATGATTATTTTATGTAACTTGTATTGTATAATATTTTTTCATTAGATAATTATCACATGTTATTTACAAAATATATATTTTAAGTGCTGAATTATTTGTTGAAATAACTCTTCAATTAGGTAAAATTTGAAAATAATGTTAGAGCTATAACAATACATATATTTTCAGTTTTCATTTATGTAATAATTATAAGATTATCATAAAATCATTAGAGAAATATCAGAAAATATTATGTAATGAATAAGATATATTGATTTTATTAATTTATATATAAAATCAAAAAATGAACATGATTAATTAAAAAATAAATATAAAAATAAAAATATTTTAGTTATTATAAAATAATCTTTTAATTTTTACTAAATATTATAAATTATACTTATAAGTAAAGCTATAATTCATGTTTAGAATTACAAATTAGTATATAATATTATATACTAATCTCAAATCAAACTTAAATTAATTCAAATTTGTATAATAATTTAGTTTGAGTCCAGTTCAAACTTCAAATTTTTTGAACTCAAAGTCAAAATTTGATTTGAGTTTAATTTAAATTTCAAATCAAACTTGAATTCAAATAAAAAGTCAATTTAGTTCAATTTATAGAAACATTATTTAAAAATAAATATATTAAATAAAATTAATTAATTAATAATATTCTATAATTATTATTTTTAAAAATTAACAAATTGAAAATTATTATATATATTATTATAATTATATTATAAAATTATTAATTTTATAATTTGTAACAAATTACAAAATTATAAAAATTATATAAAAAGTTTAAAATATTTCTTTAATTATCTTATATATTATTAATTATTATATTTATTTTTTTTTCTATTTTATATTTTTTATCTCTTTTTTATTTGTTTACTTTTATTTTTATATTTTTCTACTTTTTATATTATTAACTTATTTTATTATTATTTATTTTTTTATTTCTTTATTTACTTCAATAAATATATTATAAATCTTTAAAATATATATATATATATTTAATAAATTAGAATTTTATTTTTAATTAGTATATTTATCTTTATATTTTTTTTGTTTTCAAAATATTATATTAGTATTTATAATAAATATATAAATACAAGTTGTAATTAAGTTTTAACTTAATATATTGAAATTTGAAAATAAATAATATAATAAAACAAATATCTTTTAATACTATTATATATTTTTATTAATCATAAAATTAGTTAATAAATCTTATTATAATAATTCTTTAATTTTTTAACTTTTTAATTCTAATTTCTTAATTTTATAACTTTTTAATAATATTTAATATATTTATTAAGTTAGTTATATCAAAATATTAATTATATCAAATATATTTATTATATTATTATACTTTTAAATTATATAAATACAACATGAAATAAAATATTTTATATTATTAAATATTAATTAAATTATTAATATTATATTATTTTAGAACTATTTTATATTAAGTAAAAATAACATATATTAGTAATAGTAAGAGTTTATCAAATAGATAAAAGAAAATATATTATGTAGTAATTTCAAAGTGATATAACTCAATAAAATTAAGTACACAAATATAGATATTATTAAATATTTATATTATAAGAATACTTATTCAAAAATCTATTTATAACAATGTGAATAAGAATTATAAGAAAAAATTAAACAAATATAAAAATAATAAAAATTTATGTTTAAAATCTTATACCAACTTTTACTAAACTTATATATTTGAAAGGAAATAAAATATAGAAAAGATGAACTAATAAAATTTTAATTAATCTTTTGATTCTTTATATTAGCTAATAAATATTTAAAGCTAAGTAATAATATTAAAAATAATAAAAACTCTTTTATTTTGTTTTTTTTACAAAAAGAAATTATAATATTTTTAGTTAAAAAATTTATAACAAAAATATTAAGAAAGAAAGACAAAATATTTAAGTATTAAAAGATATTTGTTTTATTATATTATTTATTTTCAAGTTCTGATATTTTGAGTCAAGACTCAACTATAACTTGTATTAATATATTTTTACAAATATTAATATAAGATTAAAAACAATAAAAAATATAAAAAGATAAATATATTAATTAAAAATAAAATTTCAATTTATTAAATCTAAATATGAAAAGTAAAAAAAGATATATTTATTAAAATAAATAAATAAAAAATATATAAAATAATATAGTAAATCTTATTATATCTTTTTATAATCACTTTATTTTACTTTTTTATTTATTTATAAATATAATAAAAATTTCTTTATAATTATATTCCCTTTATAATTATCAAATTTTGCTTTTTCAGAGTAATAACTATAGAAAAATTTGATTATAATAATAAAATATATTATAATATAAAAGTAAGAAAAAAATAATATAAAATAAAAAATAAAAATAAAAAAATTAGATAATATGATAATTAATATAATTAAAAAAATATTTTAAGTTTTTTGTATGATTTTTATAATTTTGTAAAATATTACAAAGTATAAAATTAATAATTTTTATAATATAATTATAATAATACTTAAATATTTTATCTTTTTTTTCAATTATATATTTTAAATTTTGTATATAAACAACTTTGAATTATATTAAACTAATTAAAGTATTATTATTAAAATTATTAAATTAATATTTTTGTTATTAATTTATCTTTTAATATTTTAATTATATTTAGATTATTTGGAATTTTTTATTTAAAAATATTATAAATTTTTATAAAAGAATAAAATAAAACAGTCTTTATTATTTTTAGTTATATTATTTATTTAACTTTAAAATATATAATATTAATACAAAAAATAAGTAACTTAATCTATAAATTAGAATATTATTTATTTATTTATTATATTTATTTATTTTTAAATTATACAAATTTTAGTAGAATTAATATAGGACTTAGATAAATTTTTCTTTATTATTTTATTATTTGTTTAATTTTTTTTAAATTCTTATTTATATTAAATAATAATAACAAAAAAAATTATTAATAAAATATAATAAAATATAAAAAATGCAAGTTTTTCTTTTTATATAAAAGTATTTAAATTTATTAATAAATATTTTTTATTTTTATATCAAAATAAAAATAATATTATATATAGTAATTAATAAAATTATAATAATTTATTAATAAAATATAGTAAAATTAAAATTTTTGTTTTATATAAAAGTTTTTAATATTATTAATAAATATCTTTTATTTTATATTAAAACAAAAATTATATAATAATTATATATTATTCTAATAAGCTAAAAAAATTGAATTTAATAGATTTTATAAAAAACAAAATAAAAAGACTTAGTTTTTTGTTAAGTTAAAATATTAATTTCTTTATTAATAAATTTTTTAAATATATAATAACTAACAAAATTATAAAATCATATATATAATTTTATTAATAAAATATAATAAAAATTAAAATTTTTGTTTTATATAAAATTTTTGATTTTATTAATAAATTAAGAAGTTATTATAAAAATTTTTTATAATTAAAATATAAAATTAATTATAAAAAATTTTTACAATAACTTTAATTTTTATTGTGTTTTATTAATAAAATTATATATATAATTTTATAATTTTGTTAGTTATTATATATTATTTTAATTTATTAATATCATTATTATTAAAGCAATAATATTTATTAGCTGATATTTAGGAAATAAAGAATAGCACTTGATTTTAAGCAATACAAATTAAGTAGTTTGATTGAATAAAAAATCTTATCTAAAGATGAAAGAGAAGATATCTTTATTAAAATAATATTAGCTAATATATCTTAATATCTTTATTTAATTTAGATTTTTACTATTACTTGAAAAAAATAAGAAACAAATAATGATAAAGGATTTATATTATACAAAAAAAATATTAAAAAATTTATTATAAATTAAAACAAAATAATATACTTATAACAATTTGATTTTATTAATGAATTTATTTTCATTGGATTCTAATATATTTTGTTTAATTTGAAGATTTTTGTTTAATTTGAAGATTAAAATTAATATTATATATAAAAATACTTCAATAAAGTTATAATATTGTTCAATAATACTGTTATTCAATTTGTATTATATGATTATATATTATATTTATTATATTATAATTATTATAATCAAATTTACAAATCAATAATTAGTAAATTTTAATATTGTTATATTTTTTTTGATTGTTACTATATATAAAATTCAAGTAATTTTTTAGTTTCTAAATATTTATTCAAAAGTACTAATCAGTTTATTTATCAAAATCTACATAATAAAAATTTATATATATCATTTTGTAGCTTATATTTTTAACATATAATTTTTATTAATTGTTCTAAAACAAAGCATTTCAAAATTCTTATATGTGAAATAAAATTTTGTTTCGTTTACTTTTACTTTAAACTACAAACCGATAAATTTTAGAGTGCGCCCATGTAATGTATATTTTTAGATTAATCTGAGAAAGTTTTTTTAATTGCAAGCGGTTTACCTTGTAATTAGAAAAACTCTCAGATTAAATCTAAAAATATATATTATTATTTTTATTTTCATATAAAAATCAAAAAGATTTATTAGTAAAATTGAAAACTTTTATACGTACATATAAAGAGAAAAGTGTATTACTATTTTTTATTAGTAACTTTTGATAGTGCGGCATTTCTTTTGATTGCCACTGTATATACCTCGATGTAACGAACCTCGACATTAATAAACCGAAGTTGGTCGATAAACCGAATTTACTAAGTCTATCAAATACAATACTACAATAAATTAAACCTTGAACTTGCTTGGTATTCTTATGCTTTATCTATCCTAATTTGAATGCTTGATGACGAAAATATTAATGTGTAAATGTTGTACCTATAATTTGCAAAATTAATAAATTTTAAAAATGAATACAAACTTCCTATAATGGTAATTTTTCTTTACTTGTGAGCTTATTGTCCAAATTTAAAAATAGGTTGATATATTCTCTATTCTGTACTATATTTCATTGAATCAATATTACGTCAATCGAACGAATTAAACTAATGATAGAAAAAGTTATGCTTGGCAAATTTGATTTTATGTTTAAATAACAAATTTTTTATTAGAAATTCATTGACCGATTTCAAATTCCGTGTAATTTAATTTGTTCAGTTTCTCGATTCTATTCGTTTCACACATCGTTATGTTACAAATACATAGATTTTCAATCGCTGAATACAAACAATCGATGCTGTGCGAAAATAAAAGTGCGGTTATTTCGTTTAAGGTTTGGCTTTTCAAGATGCGTGTGTCAATTCTCAAGAACGCGTTCGATAGTTTCATGAAGAAGAAGCAATGCAAGAAACGTTCGAGTTAATTGGAGTCGAAGCGATGCGAGATGGCATTTCCATCGCCTGGATGACGAGGAGTGTGCGAATGCATGTACATGCAACTAGTTGTATAAACAGACCGACATGCATCACAGAGACACATTTAACTGTAAAATTTTCTTTCTCCAATCGAAAAAAGTAAGTGATCTCTTGTGTTCAGCCTTTATAATAAAGATATGTGACACACGCTATTATTTACAATTTATTTTTTTTTATTATTGTTTTTCTCGAATTCCGTTTTGTTTGCTTAGATCATAGATACTTCTGCATACAGTGTGTATACGGTTGGTTGGTCTCACGCGAAGGGTGTGTTAACCATAGAAGAGAGGGACGGTTTCAATTCGATTATATCACCATGAGAGGAACGCGCGGGATTCAGCTGATGGTGAAAAGTTCACCTACATAAATAAGTTTAATTCATACAGGTCTGGGGACAGTACGCCGATTATGTCTTGAGCACATTCAAACACCCGAAAGATATTGAAAATCATCGAAAAAGCTACCCCCGTGTTTTCTTCCAGATAAACAACAAACGGCGGAAAAATATCTTGTTTTCCTTGAGAAAGTTGATTGCGTAATCAATGAAAACGACCTTTAGAAAATCACAACTTTTTCATTTAAAGAGAAAACCGTACATTTTAATTTCGTATTAAAGTATTCTCGGCTTCATTCAATCATCCTCTTAATTTACCGCACTAAATTAAATGCAAAGATCGGACGGACTAATCAAATACCGGGCTAATCACGGTCAAAAAGTAGGTTTCGTCCGAACAAATGGTGGTGGTGCTATATAATCCTGCGTGGAGGACGCACGACATTTGTTCACCCCACACTGTAACGGTAATATTTACAATTTTCAAAAGTACAAAAATAATTCGACGCACAAAAAAAAAAGATCTAGAAAGATTACCGGACAAACTAACAAGAAATCTCCGACACGGGATTTGTTAATCAATAAACTTCCAAAAAAAGAAATTCACTTCACGATGTTATTTTTAAATTCTCTCGATAATATCACCTTACTAAAAATATAGTAAATGCTGTAATAGACAAAAATATTGGTAGCAAGATCATCATCAGCCACCTTTTTCATAGTAGACATTATGATTATCTTGTTATCTAGCTTGTCATCATACATTTTCTTTTTATTGTCGATTCGCAAATGACTGAGGAGCCTGGAACTAGTAACAAAATGGTCCGAACACGTAACAATTTTGTGTATGTGTAAAAAGAAACATTGTTTTGTCAAATGTTAGGGGCTGGCTGGTTGGCTCTGCTGGCTTCGATACAAAAAAACTGGATTGTTGACTTGATTGATTGGCCACATATTGCTGAGATCAAACAGATAATAGTTACTATATGATTACTGTTCATGTGAAGTTGGGCTCGGAATTTAAAAGGAACGCGTCCGGTCGTCAAGCACTCGTAATTTGTGTTCTCAAATTCAAATTAATAGTGTCATGCAGGATAATAATAGGGAGCCTCAGTACATTATTAATGCTGTACACACATTACGTATGCTTGATTAACCACACTTTGAAAGGTTTTTTTACTATGTGTTAATTAATCGGTGTTTGCAACTGATAATTCCGTCAAAATTAAAACATTGTGTTCGTGTAACATGTCACGATCAGAACTTTTATCTCGGCTTTCGAAAGGCAAAAAAGCATATCGTTAAAAGTTATTATTTAGTATGGATAGTTATTTTTTTGGGTGAGAGAATTCAGACAAACACGAAGTCTACCGCGTATTCATGTCAATTTGAGTAATCGCAAATGAGTATATGTGCAAAATCTGAGTGTATGTAGTTCTTTTATTAACAAGTATTATAATGATGATATTTGTAATAATAATAATTTTGTGTAAAAAAAACCAACTAAATATATATATATATATATGTATGAAATTTCGTGATGAGAATTTCGGGGGGGGGGGGAAGAAAAAAAGAGGAAAAGGCAAGGGAAAAAAATATGAAACAGAAGAAGAGAGAATGAATAGGAGTAAAAAAGAAATGGGGTTTTTTTTAGTTGGATTAAGAGAAAAAAAAAGATCAAAGCATGCTACTTATGTTTTTTTTCATATTGTGTATGTCTTAAGGGATCGGTGTAATTCGAGTCGATGGTGGTGATGACTATTTCATTATAAAAGTTATAATTTTCGTGTCAGTCTCCCAATTATGATTATTATTGTATTGGAAGGTAGAGACGGAAACCAAATATTTTTTAAATGGTCTGGATGTCAAATTGAATGTCTGCTTAATAACACACGAATCAGCCCACCCGTTATAATGTTAGAACAATTTATTCCTGAGACACATCATGTGACCTTCGCGTCGGATTATAATGATGATGATGATGATGCTGATTGAGATTACTACTATTATTGTGTTTACTATCCGGATCACTTGTATAACCGGAATCTTTTCGTAGTGATTTCTGACGCGCAAGAGTCATCGGACGATTTGATTTCTTGATCTCCGCGGGAGGATTTGTGATATTTGAGATGGCAATTCGGCTTGAAGATGATAATGGTGCAGTTGTTGTGATGGTTGTGGAATATGTTGATGGTCGTGGGACTGGGTTATTTGAGGTGACGGAGACTAATCGCTGTAACTCCTCAAAACTAACTTTTGATAAATCTAATCCTCGACTCAGTGTGTTTCGATCCAACACAGATGATGATGTTGTTGATGATGGGGATGATGTGGAATTTAATCTTATAATTTGCTGCCTCTGTTTTTTTGTAAGTTACCAAATTAGGAAAATGGAATTTAGTATAGAGTTTTTAACCTCGGAAAACGGGAGAAGAGTGAAAAATCCAATAATAATAATAACCTTCGCAACATCAACAAAATAACCATGATGATGAGTCGTTCGCTGTAATTCATTAACCAAATCATGTATTTTACCCAACCTATCCGACAAAGTTTTCACGCAATTGGCCGACTCCTTGCACCGAGTGCAATTTCTGCTTAACACTTGTCTGCTACTGATACTATTACTACTACTCTCGTTTGCTGCTCCTGCTGTCGTTGTCGCAGGTAGCGACGTTATCATATTTGTTGTTCTTGGAATCTGAGTCACCTTTACTCGTTGAACGCGCGCATGCGTGCCTCTTGTTTTCTCGGTGAATGTTTGTGTGGAAGTCATTTTTTATGTGTGTTGTTCTCGAAAAAGCAAAAAGATATGAGATATGATATGATAAACAATAACAAAAACAAGAATGTGGTATGTTGTTGTTGGTGTTGTTGTTTTTTACACTAATATTATTTATATATATATATATATCAAAAGACTTTGAAAAAAAAGCAAAATATGTTGCTACAGATAGTCCAGTGTTTCAAGTCGAGATGATATATATATAGGTATCAGGTCCGAATTAGACCGAATTTTAATTTAATATGCGTGTTCCTTGTGTGTTGACAGCAGCCTCCTTCTTTAGAATCTATATAGTAGCCAATATAAAAAGTGTTACAATAGAATTTCTTTTATTTCTTTTGTGCTAAATATCCATCAATCATTTGTGTGTGTGAAATTCTCAGAATGTCACATTGGTACAGCGGTACCACTTCCTTAAAAAGTCAAAGATTAGGAATTAACACTCCGGTACATCACATATTTATCGATTGATCACGACCAATAATAATCATCCAATATTTACTCTCCGTCCATCCCGCCGTCCCTCCTCCCCGTTCAGGATCTGAATCATTTTTTTGACAATCGTTAAAATAATGCTTTCTCCGTGTAAATAATAACAAACAATCCTGTCACCATCACACCTATCCATCATCGTTAATTCCGGTTGTAGTCAGACTGACATTGTATGATATATATATATATCATTTAAATTTTCTCCGGAATAGTCGTTTGATTGGTCAGTTCTTGTTTCTATTTTAAAAATTCGGACGGAATTCATGTCAATGAGGATCCGCTCATGATTGTTTTCGATATGATGCATACGTGAATGTGAATTTTTTATCGGAATTTCAAATTGTTGCTTTTTTTGAGGTTCAAATTAATGGCATAAATTAAATTAAAAAGAATAATAATGAAATGTGTTGCTTTATTCTCATTATTGTTTCTCGCCAATAGGCTTGGCTCCCCCAATTAAATTGTTCCCCACATGTTGTAATCGGATGAATATGTCGAATAGAATAACAATCCGTCTTTCATTATCCCAAAAACGTTTCCCAAATCTCTCAAATGATTGTGGCTTTTTGTTTTTTCGTATGTGGATGTGTGCGGCGCAGTCCAATGTGTGGCAAATATGTTTTGTGAAATGAACCGGACCTTTCATATTTGCTTGACCGTAGTAGCATTTGTCGTTTTGTTATCATGTCACAATGTAATTTCAAATCGAAAAAGAAACTTTAACGCGCGTTCCAGAGGTCATTAACCATCGTTAATAGAAAACACGGTTGCATAAAACCCGACAAATCAAAAGATTGGCCACCATGTGGCAAGTGTTCCAACCACACCACCTCATCATCCAGCACACCAACATCCTTTGCATAACCGAAAACTCTCTGTATTTAATCCTACGGAGTGATATCGGACAATCGAACAAAAGAAATCGTCGAGATTCTATATACGTAGTTACACGTCTAACAAATGACCATTTTGTTATGTGCAAGTTGATTGGTTCGCGGAGTTGTTTTATTTCGACATTGCGTAAAATAAAAATAGCACCATCGTCCGTCAAACTACATTATTTCATGCATGTATCAAGATCTGATTTTTAAATAGTGTGGCGACGGTGGCTTGTTTCGTATGCATAGAAATATTGGAATTCTTGTCTTATTGAATCGAGAAATTATCACCTTCGAAAACATTATATCACAATGGAATTTGCGTTTATTCACAGAAAAACCGCGCATTTTCTTAATTCGCGAGAAGTTTGGTAATGAATTCTCTCAGTCGCTTCTATTACTTCAATAGATCTTTATCAGATTATTACATACTTGTGTGTATGCTTATACAGTATTTTAATAACATATTGCTTATTTTATACGCCCGTATACAGTAACTTGTTATTTCTATATTGTATATTTATAGTAAGTCATAGTATGTTATTGAGAGTTGTCAAGATTCGGTTTTGCGGGGTAGATACATTGAATAACTACTTAATGAATGAATTGCTTAATATAAAGTTATTTATTAATGCAGGTTACTATATTTTATTGTGAATACACTAAAGCAAGTCCTTCACGTAATATATATATATTGAGCTTATTGTTGTAATGAAACCGGTATTTTGTATAAACTATTGTAATATGAAATTGTGCAACAAAATGGCATGAATAAAGAAGAAATAATCACTGTTGTTTTTTTGTTTGTTCAGGATTACAAAAACCGGAGATTATCTTGTATATGACTTTACGCGTTTTGCGCGGACCACGGTTCTTTATGTAATATCTTTTATTATGTCATGCAGAAAATTCAATAAAACGCGTACCGTAATAGAGATCTTTCTCGGAATAATTTTTTGAAACGTGAATTCAATAGGAGATCAATTGTGGAAATAGACTAATAAAATAGAAAACAAACAATTGAATATGAAGATGCTAATTGAAAGAGCTCATTGTTTTGGAACGGTATCATACAAATAGCTTAATTAGCTCTTACCGAAATTAGCCTGACAACGGATTTTGTCCCAACGTGTATTTCACAAAGGGATTTCCTATTATGAGAAGTATAATGAGACTTCTATAGAATTATCGCCTTTGTTGTTGTTGTAGAATGGAGAATTGGGAAAGAATGGAAACTTGGAAATTATGGCTCGGAAAGATTTTTCCGTTACAATTGATGGATTTCTCCCAAGGATTTTGTCACCATTTTTTTTATCATGTCGATTAGATTACATCTCGGGTGTGATTTGCGTGTTGTCACGTTAGAACGAACATCGGAATCCCGGTTGGAATATCAATTCTTTTGCATACATGCACATTTGAATGCATCATACAATCATACAGTCATACAGGGGTCGTTGCTTGGTCACGAATGAACGCAGGATATAAATAGCTAGACCCCTGGTTTTAACACAAGTCGAACACAAAATTTTATACAATGGCCATTTTTTTGTCTGGCTGAGTTCTCTTGGCTGCTTTAGTTAGATAAATTAACTTCGAACATATGGCATTGTAGATTGGATGTTTCAGACTTTATTATAAATAGGTTCGTTATTTATGGTGATACAGCAAAAAATCGCAAATAAACGACTCGTTATAATATTCGAGTTTATTTTTAGATGCCGAATTGAAAATATCGTGGTTTGTGCATAGTTATTGAATAGAACTGAATAAAATTCATGAGATTTGATTTGTTCATGAAGATAATTCATATACGAAAATTAAAAATAACTTGAAAAATTGTTCATTAGCTATTTTATTTTATTTTATTCCACTGAGATGATTCTATTCAAATATTGTATAGAAATTGTACTTACAGTTAACTCTTAATAATCTTGAAACAAATCTTATCCAAAATTTCCTGATAACAATTTCAAAAAGAGACACGATAATTTATAGAGCGATTATAAAGAATTGATAACGATCATAAAACGATCATAAAGAAAATAATTTTGAAAATTTCAAAAATGCATCGATTCTTATTGTTTATTAGTCATAAGTTTTGTCGTCTAAGATATTCATCTGTGTTTAAATTTAAAAAAAGACTATTGTAAAATAGGCAATTTTTTTAAAAATCAAACTTATTATTCGAGTTTCTTCTCAGATACAATTTTTACGCTAGCTTAATCACAAATGGTAAATCGATACAATCAAAAAAAATGCAACAGCATCAATTTACTAATAAAACGCAGGTTTTCTCTTTATATAAAAGTTTTTACTAGTAGATATTTTCTATGCTTACATGTATATCAAATAAAACCTCGCGTTTTACTATGTTTTACTAGTAAATTTTGATGCATTTCTTTTGATTGTCACTGTATATGATGTAATGACGTGCAAAAAAGTAAAGAAAGTATTAAAAAAACAACAGCAAGAAAAAGAGCATGTTGGATTGAACATGTATATATGCTATTTGATTTGACAGATATGTTATTACTTGCCTAACCAGAAATGCTAGTATTATTTTTACATTAGTGAATATAAATCTTTTATCAATAAAGAAAAATAAATATTTTCCCATATTTATACATCTTTTCATAACTTTAAAGTTATATATTAAATATGTAAATATAGTCAGACCATTCTAAGTACAACTTGTTGGAACCATATAAAACTTGCACTTAGAGCAGTATTACATTTATGAAAATAAAATTACATATATATCTTATAAGTTAGATCAAATTAGAATGTGCATTTAGAAAATAATTGCACTTAGAGGGGTTGCACTTAAGAAGATCTGACTATATAGAAAATTGATATTTTCATATTATTTTTTGATATTGTCACATCCTTGTAATTATGTAATATTGATATATCACATAATGAAATATGAAAATATCACATATCATTCTGTAAATATATAAGTAATTATTATTATTGAATTATCAAATTTGAAATTTATTTGATTAAATATTTAATTAACTTGTATTATTATATCTTGTAATTATATAATAGTAATATATTATTATATTTATTTTCAATAATTCTGTAATTAACGAATCTTTCAAAAATAGTAGAAAATATAAAAATCTTCAAAAATAGTAACAAAACAACAAATTGATAAAAATAGTATATATATATTAATTATCTAATAATTGTATAATTATTATTATTATTTATCTTTTCTACCTTTATTTTCTATCTTTTCTATTCTTTATATATTATTTATCTATCTTTTATATCTTTATTTTCTATCTTTTTTATCTTTATACCTTTATTTTCTACCTTTTCTACTCTTTATATCTTATTTATCTACTCTTTCTATCTTTTATATCTTTATTTTCTACCTTTTCTACCTCTATTATTTATCTTTTCTACCTTTTCTATCCCTATTATTTATCTTTTTCTACCTTTTCTATCTCTATTATTTATCTTTTCTACCTTTTCTATCTTCATTATTTATCTTTTCTACCTTTTCTATCCCTATTATTTATCTTTTCTATCTTCGTTATCTATCTTTTCTATCTTTTTCTATTTATCTTTTTTATCTTTATTACCCTTACTTTTTACCTTTTCTATCTTTTTTTATTTACCTTTTCTATCTTTTATATATCTTTTTATAATTTTATAATGTAGATAAAATTAAAATGTATTGACAAATTTTGTATAAATAGGAGTATTTTTTCATGTATCAATCTCATGTTTCAATGCTTAAACAAATTAATAAATTTTAATCTTGCTATAATAAGTTAATGACTGTCTTATTGTTATAAAATTAATATTTATCCTTGTATTATCTTCTGTCAAAACAAGTTATCTGGCAAAAATAATTTGTTGATTGAACTTCAAATCTTGTAATTCAAGTCACTTTTATAAATCTTGAGTGAGATCAAGAAACTGAATATTGATTTGTGTAGAATTGAATTTCTGATTATTACTTTTGTTTTTGAATTTGAAAAAGACAGTTAAGTATTTTTGGATAAGTATATTGATTTATTATAGCATTATTTTTGATATAGTTGTGCATCATAACTTTAAATAAGTGATATTGATTTGTATAGTTGTGCACTGTAACTCTCAATAAGTGATATTTCTTTTAATTATTCATTTTCTTTAGTATTAAAAGCACTAGAATGTATAATTACAAGTATAGAAATATCAATATTCTTTATCTTAGTTAGCAATCTCTTTTTATCAATTATCTCTTTAAATATACTCTTACAATCCTTTTTTTTATCTTTGATAGAATTGTTTAACAATTTCTGTTGAAATTGACATAGGCTTAAATACTTATTTTTGCACTGATCAATTTTATTAATCTATTTCTCTCTCCTAACTCATATGACTCTTTTACTAATAGTGAAGAAACCCTTTATTTAAAGTAATCATAACATTATTTATTATTTATCTAATAATAAATTTATAAGCAATTGCATCAAAAAATCTAGCAATTTGTTAATGAATTTGAAAAAATTAGCTAAAAAAAATATTTTAAATATGATTGAAAAATGATTAATTAAATTAATTAAATGATAGTATTTTTGTTTAAATCAAATTATTGAATATCAAGAATTAAATTATTAAATATTAAAATATATGTTATAAATTTATTAATTATATTTGTAATATAAAAGTTTATAAATATATAATATCTAATATAAAAGCTCTATTAACTTATAAAAAATATTAATAATTAATATTTATAATATTCTTTGTACTTGAAAAAATTTGATATATTACATATAATCTATAAAAAGTTAAAGAGAGTTGGATATTTTTGCGATTTACTGTATATTTATCTTATTTAATTTAAATTTATAAATTTTGAAATAAATTTATTTATTCAAAAAAATTTTTTAAACAAAATAAATTTTAAATAATTTATAATATAATTACTTTATTATTAATTATTTTAATTCTATTATATATATAAGTAATTATTTTAAATAATTATTTCAAATAATTATTTCAAATGACTATTTAAATAATTATTATTTCAAATAATTATTTAACTTTAAAATTTAATTAATAATTTAATATTTAATAATTATTTATAAAAGAATATATATTTTATTTTAGAATTAATTAAGTTTTAGATTCAGAATTAAGTTCTATAATAATTTAAAAAAGTTATTTTAATAATAAAATTCTTTTAAAACTTAATAAATAATTAAAATATTAACTTAATTTCTTTTATTATTTTATTTTAGTTTATTTATTGAGTTTTACTTAATTTTATTTAAATTATATTTAGTTTTAAATTTAATTTATTTTAGATTTATAATTTTTTGTCTTAATTACAAATTTATATTTGTTTAATTTACTTTAATTATTAATATTTTGCTTGTTTATAAATTAATTAATTATTAAATTATTTATTTGATATATTAAAAAATTTGAAAATACAAACTAAAAATGAATTTTGAAATTGATAATATAATTTAGAAATATAACTAAAAAACTAGTTTAGAAATATAATTAAAATTAATTTAAATTATATTAATATTTCTTTAAAATAATTTAAATTTTATCTTTAATATAAATATATTATATTTATATATATTATATTTATATATATTATATTATATATTTATATAAAAATTTAAAATTTAAAATAATAATAATATAAATCATTTTAATAAAAATATATAATTTTAAATCTAAAAAATTATTAAAATAATAAATTTTGATTTAATCTATTATTTTAATAATTTATTAAATATTTAATAAATTATAAATTTAGATATATATACAATTAAATTTCTCTATAATTACATTTATTTATAGTTATATTTCTTTATAATTATACTATTTTGCTTTTTCATTTACATATAAATATAGTAAAAAAAAATTTCTCTATAATTACCAAATTTTACTTTTCCAATAATAATAAATATAGAGAGATTTGATTGTATATATAAAATTAATATTTATAGAAAAATCTTTCTAATATATTTTTTATAAATATATATACTATATAAATTCTTTTTAAATATATATATATATTATAAATTAGTTTCAAACTTATAAAACTTTTAATTATTTTTTTATAAATATCTATTTTATTTTTTTAATATAATTCCAAAAAAGATATATTTTTTATATATTTAAATATTTAATTATAAATTATATTTTTTCAAAAATAAATATTTAAATATTATAAATAATATATATAATATTGTTTAAAAAATTATTTTAATTAAATATAATTTGTATTATTTATTTAATAATTTATATTATTATCTTAAATAATAAGTTTTCTTTTGTATTATTTTATAAATAAAATATATAATAATTTTTATTAGTATTATTTATTATCTTAAATAAACAAAAATTTTTTTATAATTAATTCAAATTTTACTTGTTAATTCTATAATTTGATGTTTATTATTTTTATTTTGTTATTATTTATTTATAAATTTTTTTATTATTTAATTTATTAAAATAAAATAAATCAAATAATATATTTTTATTTGAATTAAAATTATTAATTATAAATTATTATATTATTTATTTTTTTATTTTAATAAATTGAATTTAGATTTTTGTACTATATTTAGTATAATTTGAAAAATACATAAAATTATAAAACTAAATATTTTTATATACAAAAATCTATTAGATACTCTAATATTATTAAACTTAATTTTATTTGATATTAATTAATAAAATAATTAAAAAATATTAGTAATATTTAATATAATAAAGATTTTTATTTAGATTAAATTTTTGAATTATAAAATATTATATTTCAAAGTTATTGAATCAAAATTAAAATAAATATATTATTTTTAAATATACTATCATTAAATTTCTTTATTTTTAATAAATTTAATAATATAGTTAAATTTTTTTATAATTATAATTATATTTTTCTATAGTTACTTAATATTATTTTTTTATTTATATATAAATATAGTAAAAAAATTTCTTTATAATTATATTTTCTTTATAATTATCCAATTTTGTTTTTTAAAAATGATAATTATAAAGAAATTTAACTATAATAATTTTAATTTAATTAAGTAAATTATAAGATATTATTCTATTTTTTTAAAATTATTTAGTAACTTTAGAATATAATATTTTATAATTTACAAATTCAATTTAAATAATAATATTACTATTTAATTTGTCAAGCCTTAATAAATTAAATAATATATATTTTGTTCTAATAGAAAAAGTGAATTATAAAATATTATGTTCTAAAATTACTGAATAATTTTTTTATTTTTCCCATTTTTTCTGACGAAACTTATAATTTTTAAAACTAAAAAAATTGTATTTTTGTCTGATTATTTTTTTATGAAATATTAGAGTTTTATAAGTTATAATAAATCTAATAAACTTATTTGGAAAGTCAAAGAGCATTTTAAACTTGCTTACTCTAACTGAAATTCATTCTCAATGAGCTATAACAATACAAGTTCTTTTTGGTCCAAATTACACAAATTGTCAAAATGATTACTATATTTTCATATTCCAAATATTTATCATATGCTTAAAAATTACAAGAGTAAGCAGAGATGAAAATGTTATAGCAAAAAAGATGTTTCTGAGAAAATTAAACAGTTGTTATAATTGGTATACTTATTGAAATGAGCAAAAGTTTGTATTCTTCATTACAGTTATTGATTTTGATATCTAACTTCAAATTTATTACTGTATATCAAATTAACGATATAAATTCAAATTAACGATATAAATTCAAATTAACTATATACATTCAAATTAGTTATATTGATTATATAAATTCGAATTAAACTATTCAAATATTCAATATTCAATTCGATTTTTGGATATTAATAGTGACAATCAAAAGAAATGCAACAGTGTTAAAATTTATTAATAAAATATAATAGAATGTGGGTTTTTCTTATTTTTATGCAATTAGAAAAACTTTCTCAGATTAAATCTGAAAAAAATATTGAAAACTTTTATATAGAAAGAAAAACCCATATTCTATTATATTTTATTAATAAATTTTGACCCTGTTGCACTTCTTATGATTGCCACTGTATATTCGAATCTTAAATTCCAATTCGAATATAAATACTACATAGAATATTTGCATTTCGAAAGACTATTCCAATTAAAGTTATTTAACGCTATCATGGAAACATAACGACACGCATTCATGTCGGAGAAGAGAGAAGAGTTTCGCGCACACAGCATCATTTTGTCTATCCGCTCGAGTTATCTCCACACTACACTTTGTATTCGAAAGCCTAATATTGTTTTTATATAGTGGAAGAATAAATATCAAGCGCGAATATCTTAAAATTTTGGTATATCATCCCCTAACGATCCTATGACCATAGTGTAACGGCGGCGACAAAGAAAATAAAGTAAATTATATAAATTAAATAAACGAGAATTTTGTATAAAAAGATGAAAAACGATAATCACTTTGATCGTACCATTAATCTCGTAAATGTCGGTACATATTCAAGAACATTTAGGACGAGTACAATAGAAATATTAACACTATTGCACATACAACGAAAGAAATTTATCGGCTTAAGTGCGTGAAATTCTTTTTCTTCTCAAGGATTAGAATGAATGAGCGAGCAATCACGATCTTACTAAAATTTGTTAGTTTGATTGTTTCATTTGAACATCTATTAATTAAAAATAATCTTATACTCTGCTCACAGCAGGGGTCGAACCTGCGACCTTGGCGTTATTAGCACCACGCTCTAACCAACTGAGCTATGCGAGCGAATGTACAAAAATAAGGTTTGAAATACATATAAACTATGGTTATAACCTATCGCTTTATCGTTTACATTCTAAAATAGTGTTTACACCTTTATTCCATGACAAGAATTTATATTCCCGCCAATTAGCGAAAAAAGAACATTAAGAAAAATATATAAAAGTGTGGTTTCGAATACTACGTTGTGAAATATAGTTGATGCATAAAAGTTTCAATTTAAATTAGAATTAAACTATTCAAATTCTTAATCATTGAACTATTTATTGAAATAACATTAAAAATTTATACTTGCTCTTACCATGATATGCAGTAATAAATGCCAAGATTAGATATCAAACATTTGCAAACCAAAAACAATTTTCAAATTATATACTCATTTTTTATTTACAATATTATAAAAGTCTTGAAACTTGGGAATATCCCATTAATCAATTATCAAGCAATACTATGAATTAAAATTGATCTATACATTCATATTTCTTTATAAAAACACTATAAAACAATTAATGCATTAATAGTTTAGTTATTATACGTATACATATTAGAATAACGATATATCGGGATTCGGGCACTTTGTTGTATATTGAGAATTTATCTTGTTTCGTTTCGGTTTTTCGGAGCAAGTGAAAAGAAGAGTATATCAATACTGTTAATATGCTTTGTCTCCTACATCGCTATATTTTTTTTCGTAATAATGAAAAATGGTACTATGTGACATTGGAGTATAATGTTACAACAAAATACTCTACCCTTAAATATTAAAAGGAGACGCAACTGTATTTTCATGCTAAGGGGAGTCACCATCAAACATTCGAACCTTTGAGGTTATACAAATTCGCAATAATCCCATTCTAGATATGTAAAAAAGAATTCAAAGACAAAGATTAAAATTGGCTTGGTTGGATTGCTGTTTTACACCAGATAAAAACATTTCTCAATAAAAGTTAAATCCTTACCTGTAAAGTTAACAAGGCGTGAATAAATTCTTCCTCAACTGGTTCATTCGAAATTGAATTTTAACTGAAGATAGAATCTTGTTCCATTATTATAAATTATAATGCATGGATTAACGTGAGAAGATGGAACAAGATTCTATCTTCACTAGATTCCCATTTTCCACTTTCGGTGTATCCGATCTCGTGCCACTTCCGTTGAAAAAACGCGTGTATCATTAAATCTGACCTATTTCCTTTTGAACCAGTACATTGGTGGACTTTTCGATTTTTACTATTTTTACTAGTTTTTCGGCTCTATAAATCAATTTCAAAGTCAACAGGCAAATCGTGCATGGCCGCATTCATCAAGCGACCAATTATTGCCACAAGAGTAGAGATTGGACCCGGGTTGTATTTTTTTAGACGGGTCAATCTCTACACAAGAGTGCCTTCTGAATGTTTGGAAATTCGGCGAAGAATGCCCGTTCTGACTTCCTGTAAAATCGTGTCTAAAATACTTTGCGTCATCCTATCTCTGAGCAAGAGTTTCGATCCACCGACCATGATATACAGTAGCGATCATAAGTAGTCATTGTCCAAAATTATACTATAACGATCACCCAAATTTTCTGCGTGTTAATGTAATACGACACCTAATCGCTTGTATATTTATAGTTCTATATTGGGTATTTTATGTTCATAAACTTTCATGCCCCAAATACAATAAATCGGTCATTTTAGGACATAATATCTCGACGTCCAGCGAGCCGATTTGAGCGAAAACACTACCATTCGATTTTGTCTAATCTAGGCAAATCAAATAGTGATATTTTCGCTCAAATTGGCTCACTGAATGTCGAGCTATTACATCCTAAAATGACAGATTCATATTTGTCAACCAATTTTTCATTAGAAATGATCGCCAAAAAAACAAAACAAATAGTATATAGTATTTTTGTTCAAATTGGATCACTGGATGTCAAGAATTAGATTGAGATGTATGTTATGAAATGACTGATTGTATTTGGGACATGAAAGTTTGTGCACATTAGTGTTCCTATGAACCGGACCGAACTGAACTTTTGCCTGGGTTCGAGTCTGGTTCGAAATTCGAACCGAACTTTGGCTTGAGTTCAAGAAAGGTTCGAACCGAACCATTATACAAGTTCGAGTCTGGTTCGAGTTCGATCAGAGATCGATATATACTAACATATATTGATTTGTAGTCCTAAACATGAGCTACAATTTTAATTATAAATACAAATTATACTATTTAGTGAGAATTAAAAGTTTACTTAGAGACAACTAATATATTTTTATTTTTACGTTTATTAAATTTTATCGTAAATTCTATATAGCTCTTTAAATATTAATTATTAATAGTAACTATCTATACCAAATTGTAGCACTTATCTCTGGCTACAACTTTGCTTATAATCATATTTTATGGTTACTATACAAAAATAAATGTTTATTATAACATAATTAAAATGAATTAAAATTATAATAATTAAAATTTAAATAACTTTTTGAATATTCATCCTCAATATCAACTAGCTTATACAAATTTGTAGCTCTGATTATGATCTACAACTTTACTTAAAAGCTCATTAAACGTTTACTTGAACTCGAACCAGACTTTTGGTCAGGTTTGAAGTTCGAACCGAACTCGAACCAGACTTTTATTGGTCTGGTTCAAGCTCGAACCGAAACAGACAGACTTTTTTTCGGAACCCTACAGTGAACATACAATATCCGATATAGAAGCTATAAATGTACAAGCAATCAGGTGTCGTATTACATTTTACTTCCAAAAAATTTTGGTGATCGTTATAGTGTAATTTTGGGGATATGCTAAAGCCGGCAAAACAAATCCGAAGCGCGAACAAAATATGAAAAATAACGGAAAACAGATGCTTAAATCTATCTTTGTATACTAATAAAAAAATGTCGGGGAGGCAATTTTATATATAACCTTAATCTCAACTCTAGCTCTGACCCAAACCCTAAGCTTAAAATCAATCTTTAATATATAGTTGTGTCACGTGATGTATCATACTTTAGCCGAATTCCAACAAAAATTCACGCTCACGTGAGCGCAAACCAATGGGAATGCGCAAATTTTTGAAAATGAAAAAAGTGAATAATGTAAAACAGATGTCAAAATCTGGCTTGAAGCATTAACAAAAAATCTCGGGAAGGCAATTTACATATAATCTCATCCTCCACGCTAACCCATATCCTAACCCAAACGATAAACAGCCTTTAACGTTAAGCTCACGTGAGCATGATTTTTTGTTGGCGAAGCTGGGGAAGTTGACTTTAGCCATCCCCTAATTTTGAGCAATGCCGGGCGTTCGGATACTTATGATCGCTACTGTAAATATTGAGATGGAACGAAATCATTACATATATTTTTTAGTGAAGGCGCTTTATCTAACTTTCTTATTTTAGCCCCGTCACCTATAAACCCCCCCCCCCCCCACGTAAATTATTAATGCTCTTTTGAACTAAATGAAAATACCAAGAGCATATTTCCAGTTAATTAAGTTTAAATGATTGCAAAATCCATACAAAATGGTATTTGGAGGTTATAATTCAAAAAATTGGACTACAGTTATAACGAACTCTGGTTTATAACGAAGTATAATTAAAATCTCGATATAACGAAATTTGAATTTTGCAATAACTTAGTAATAACTTAGTAATAACTTAGTAATAACTTAGTAATAACTTAGTAATTCGTTATAAAAAAGTATAGCGATAGTAAATCTTGATATAACGAAAATTTTTACTAATAGTCCGGCCACCTTCGTAGTATTGGGATTTGGCAATATTGCGATGCAACTTTCTTATTCAAAATTCTTAAATATTCCTTCAGTTGTATTAACCATAACCCATAATGATACAAACTAGTATTGCCTTTCTTGAACTAGTTTGAAGCTTAGCGTCAGTGGCATCTCATATCGATATATAGGGTTAAGGTTGGTGTTACGTGATATTTTTTAAGTAGAACTTGATCTCCAGAAAATATTTTTTCATAATTTGCAACAATGAACGATCCGTTCTTCGCTAGGACAAAGTCCAAAAAGTCAAAAAAAGCCACCAATAATAAAGAAAAGAATAAAATTGTCACAGGCAAAAAACGTAAATTTGAGGCGAACGATGACGAAGAGTCAATACCTTCTAGTGAAGATGAAGTAGGACCAGGTTTAATTGATGATATGGATATGGAACATAATTTTAGTGAGGAAGACGATGAAGAGGCCCACGAAACGCCGGCGGAGAAAAGACGTCGATTGGCTAAACAGTACATCGATAGTGTACGGGAAGATCTTGGTGTGGTTTTTTTAATTAATGATTAATAATGGTTTAATTATTTAATTATTTGATTTATTGATTAAATGAGATTCTTTGATGATAGATGAAGCGGGATTTGATGCGGCTGAGATCGATCGTGATTTAATTGGTCAACGTTTGCGAAAAGAAGCGGTAATACGAGGATTTTTTGGTCTATTTTTCGTTAATATGATCATTTATTTCTATATTCAAAAATTTAGCTCGAAGCTTCGGGACGTCTTCATCGAGAATTAGCCAATGCGGTACGAATTTTTTCATAAGATTAAAATTAGGACTTATCAAATGAATCCATTTTATATATCTACATATATATGTATTCGATGTTATCACAGTTTAAATTCCCTATTGATCCCTCAAAAATAAAATCCCGAAGACATGAACTCTCGGTGACTTGTGTTGCCACTACTGATTCAGCTCAGTTCTTTTATACAGGATCCAAAGATGGAACAGTAAAGAAATGTAAGCTATGATGATTACTTTATACTTCTAATATATAATCAGACAGCGTAATTAGCATACTAAAAAATGTTGAATAGGGGACATTAAAACAGGAAAAAAATTACATGTTTTCCCTGGTGGTCGAAAAGAGCTCAAAGAGTATGATGGTCATAATAACGTGGTGTTGGCCTTGGCTGTTAGTTCAGATGGAAAATATTTAGTATGTTCAGTTTGTATTTCGATTTTGCAATTAATGGGAATCTTTCTATTTAATATTATTTTTGTTAGGCTAGTGGTGGTGCTGATAAGAAGATTAATATCTGGTCAGTTCAAGATAACACATTAATGACATGTTTCAAACAACATAAAGAAGGCATAACAGTAAGTATTTTTTCTATTAGTTGCTTAAATCTTTAACTTGACAGCCATTCAAACAGTGATTACAATTTTTATTTACAGGGTCTCGCTTTCCGTAAAGGCTCAAATCAATTATACTCAGCGTCTAACGATCGCACAATAAAATTATGGAATGTTGACGAAAAAGGATACATAGAAACACTGTATGTATATTGTTGTTGACTTTAGACTAATATAATAACCAAATATCATTTTTTTTCTATAGATTTGGCCATCAAGATCAAATTACAGCAATTGACACATTAGCACGTGAGCGGTGTGTTACAGTAGGAGGCAGAGACCGAACATGTAGATTATGGAAGATTGTCGAGGAATCACAATTAGTATTCCGAAGTGGCTCAAAAACCGAAAAAGATGATAAAGCGCATCAAGAAGGATGCTTGGATGCGATCGCGTTAATTGACGAGGAACATTTTTTGAGTGGAAGTGATAGTGGGTGAGCATTTTTTTTACAAATATATATAAATTCATTTAAGATATATTATTAAAATCAATAATCTGATATTAATTATCAAAAGTGCAATTTCATTATGGAGCGTACAAAAAAAGAAACCTATATTCGTATATGATATTGCACACGGAACACAAATCACCAATTCCGAGAGTCAAAGTCATTTATCACCGTCTCATTGGATAATATCCTTAGCGACACTACGATATTCCGATGTGTTCGCATCAGGATCATGGGACGGAAACATTCGATTATGGAAACTCACAAACAATATTCATTCATTTGAACCATTGACTAAGATCCCAATTATTGGATTTGTGAATTCACTTCAATTTACCACAGTTGAGCAAGATTCAAAGCCAAATGAGACGACAAGGGCGACGACTACATTACTTATAGCGGGTGTTGGTCAGGAGCATAAATTTGGGAGGTGGGAACGAATAAAAAAAGCCAGAAATGGGTGGAGAATGATAGAGTTGCCTCTTATTAACGTGACGTCGTGAGTCTTTCTTTAGCAATGTAATTCTCGGAAAATTATATTTATAAAAAAGTAAGTTTATTAATAATTCTAAGCAACCAAATTAGCTTTTATTTTAAATAATAAAATAGTTGCCAATTATAATCTCGATCAAAAATACGAGTTTACTTTCATAAAAATATATAACAGTTCTCAAATCTTTGACTCGGCAACAATAGCAACACCGTCAATCTCTACTTTAACATCTTTTGGTAGTCTCGCAACTTCTACACACGCTCTGGCTGGTCGATTCGCTCCAAGCAACTTTTATTAATTTATTATTATTCATTAATATTAGTTTTAAAAATATCGAAAAATTTTTTTTCGTACCTCTGCATATACTTGATTTATTGCGGCAAAATCATTCATGTCTTTAATGAATACGGTAGTTTTTACTAAGAGTTCCAACGAGGAGTTGGCAGCCTCGAGTATGTTTTGTAAATTTTTCATAGATTGCCGCTAAGATTAATCAAAAAAACGTGTAATTATTATTAATTCGAATATACCGAATATACATATGTTTCGGGTATTCAATTTATTAATTATATTTTACCGTCTGCTCACGAACATCTTCACTAACAATTTCACCGGTTTCAGGTATTACGGGTATTTGACCAGACGCAAACACAAATCCATTTGCTATAATTGCTTGAGCTTTTTATGTCAATTTTCAGACCCGATATTTTATTTAGCAATAAACACAGAATAATGAAATTAGCCCAAATTTTTTGCCTTCATTACACCGAATAATAAAAAAACTAACAATAAGGTCCAATAGCTCCAGGTGCCTTATTTGTCGAGACTACCTTAAGAGGTGAGGAGGTCATTGTAAATAATGTTTTTTTTGTTAGGGAAACTGGATTCTTATTAGTAAATAGTGACGTATAATAATAATTCAGTGGTGCTCTTTGCTGTAAATTGTGAAATAATCTTGAATGAAACATTAAAGGATGATAATGTAGATCTTTTAAAAAAATGGCAATTTATATCAACGACTCTGCCAGAATGACCCTTAATGTATGGATCACGTGATAATTTGTTGATGCGAAAAGTAATGGCGGGAAGCATGTGCCAGGTTTTGTCGATCATAGACCAGTAGCCAATAAGAATGCGCAATTTTTTTATTAGCATCCAATAAGAATGCAGAAATTTTTGATCAAACCGGCAAAACAAATCCAACACAAGAAATGCGAAAAATACAAGAAATGCGAAAAATACGAGAAACAAGTGCATAAATATAGCTTGGAGTACTAATTAAAAACGTCGGGGAGACAATTTTATATATACTCTGTAACTCAGCTCTAACCCTAGCCCTAATCCTAAAACCAATCTTTTAATGTTAATTAATATTACTGTAGAATTTTCCGAAATCAACAAAACCTGACACAGATTTCTGATGTGTCATTAGGAATTATGATGACGAGCAATACGCATAGCACCCTAAATATCAAGTTCGAGTTCGATGACGCTAATGCCAAATTGGGTGAAGTTTACGAGCTTATGAAATCTCTGTTTTAAATGATGAGCCCGAGTCTAACCATGCCGAAAATGTCTGACAATTCTGATGACGAGTTCAATGATGAATGCGACTATGAGGATGATGTCGATATTGAATGGATAGATGGATGGACGTATATGGCTCGAAGCATGGAGTGAATTGATTAATGCAAAAAAGGCTCGTCACCATAGTATTGTCCTCACAGAATTTATCAGTAGACTTCCGGATATTTCTGAGCAAGTAAGAAATACACTATTCGACGCATTTTCCAAGTCCAGCGCTTTCAATGCAAAAGTTTATAATTTGCTTCTGGATGCCTTGGCGAATCCTACTAAAGGCTGGAATCTAAATGATTATGATTACCAAGTAAACGCATTCATTAGCAGAGCTAGCAAGGTTAATTACTCTTCCTCTTCGAACCTGAACAGATGTACTTACTGAGTTAACCTGTATCATGGAATCAGATCTGTAATGGGCAGAGCCCAGAATTTTTGACTCATAGCCTAAGTGTCAAATTATCTCATGATGTGTCGATCATGCCAACTGTGAAAATCAGCACTAGACATATGGAGCATAAATATCGCATTTGTCATGCAGTCATGTGAAGATTACTAAAGTAGAAATTTATACGTCATTAAATTGACACTGAATATGATATTTCTTTGGCTTCTGCTCTTTATATCAGCACATCTGAGAAGACAGGATTACTAATCCTGTGACAATTAAGATCTTATTATTAAAGATATCAAAGGAGCATTTAAATGGGTAGAAATTCTTTTTATCTGAACTGAGTCAACTCGAATCCCAAATGTGTTGCTTGGACATTTGGCTTTAGAATAGTAAAGTTAAAGACATCTCGATACCATGCCATTGGCTTAGAACATGATAAACGCTTAATTACAGCTTCAGTAATACTATCTCACTCCTCAGGAAACTTGGAAATCTTGATTGGTGACATGTATTGCGAGAGATCATAATCATTATCATCTTCGATTGGATAATCCAGAAGTTTTAGGTACATGAGTCGAAAGATGTGATTTAGGCACTTACCTCAATTTTTAGAAAGTTGATAGACAATTTTTCTTGATGTTTAGTCAAATTTTGTAACAGTTCTCAAACCTCGTTAACATGACACCTGATGATATGACAACCGTATTAGTATGATCAACTGAGAGCTCACTATTCTGATATGTCATAGTTTCATTATAACTAAACATTTCAAAATAGCTATATGATTTCATGATAAAGGGTTCTGCAACATATAAGGTTGGTGATTACAATTAGTCTTTTTCCTCATCTATTAATTGTAGCTTACGAATTTTTTTGGCTTTGCGTATATTCATCAAATTTCAGTGATTCGTGCAGTTAAATTGTTAACATGTTCATATCATCACAGTCATTCTCCAATCAGAGGGTATCAGAAAATGGCAATTTTTATAATACCCCTGAAAAAAAATTTGTAAATTGTTAGTCATCATTTTAGTCATTTTTGGGGAATCATTAAAGTCGTGTAGTGAATTAACTCAGATAATCATAATTATCCGAGTTGACTTAATGCACATGACCTATATCTGTAACACATTCAATAATTGGCTGAATTCTGCATAACACCATCACTATCACTAAAAACACCATCGTCATGAAATCTGATTGCAACCTGAAGAAATTTACAACATCAACGAAACAAAAATGGCAGCCAAACTCACTCATAACAACTAACAGCTTACGCAACTGGTTTTCAGTTTTGTTTCGTATCAAGTTCCTGAATGTGAGTATTTGGCATTTTTTCATTGTTTGGATATCTAGTTTTTTTATTTTATTAGTGCCATCACAAATTTCCGGTTTGGTCTCGCACCGGTCTGTATTGTCCACATTTCTGGTAAATATTTTTGTTTAAATCAACAAAATTGGGACAATATTGGTAAAAATATTGTATCGCATGAAAAATCACAAAATGACGAACGGATCGTGAGGTAACGATATCTCATCGATCTTCAGAATTTTGTGAACTCAAATTCGTTTAATCAAGACAAATATTTTTTGTATTCAGATTAAAGATGATGCAGAAAGTATGTGATGCTTATTTGTCACCTGTTGCAACATGTTGCAACTTCAAACTTTTATAAACCACAACTAGTTGCAACTAGGTGATGCTTTATTTGTCATTACATTGCACCATCTTTAATTCAGACCACAAAAATTGGTTGAATATTGAAAAAAATATAAGCATTCAAAGTTGACTTATTTTTCTGGAACTGTCAGTGTTGGTTAGAGTTAATAAGAGTTTCTAGTGTCCAATTTCTCCATGTTGATTTCATTACGACCGGATCTAGTGAGTTCTTGGGTGAATATTTGATGAAATATGAGTCTTTGGGTGAAAGTGCTCTTGAAAAATCAATTTTAACAATGCTAACAAAAATCTTTAATTGGTTAATTTATTTTTGTGATCAACAAGAACATTGTAAAATTGCTTGATTAGTACTTTTAATATATGTTTATTCAAAGAAGGTTAAAGCACATTGTTGCTGATAAGCCAATGCTATATAATATTTTTATTGGCTATTCAATTTGATCACATGGTTACAATCTGAATTGGATTAAAAATCATGTGTAATTATACAACTTTAACGGATCTCCTTAAATGATCTATATGATAAATTTATTGATCTTTCATAATACTGACCAAAATTAAACATAATACCAAACAAAATTAATTAATAGATAGTGTGCACTATAGAAGTAATAAGAAGGATATATACTAATATCATTAGCAAATTATAGATTTAGTGATGTGATATAGATGTTGGTGTAGGAAGGGAGAGATGAATTGTTTAAAAAAGTACTTAAATCCATCTTTCATTATCATTATTAATAAACTTGTATCTAAACTTATAATGAGCAACTTTGCAGTGAATGATGATGAAGAGTTGGTTCCTTATGTAATAGGATCAGGTTTAATAGAAGATATGAGTATGGAAGATAAGGCAGAAAAAAAGTATCAACTATTAAAGAGTATCTTGATAATGTACGAATAGATTTTGATATTGTTACCGTTCTTATAGTGATAGGCAAAGTATTAACTAATTATAATAATTAATTAAGAATTGTATAAGAGCGATAATAGTGACTGTGTGTACTTGAGAGGGTTGGATACTAGATGGTTGGGA